CAAACGCTAAGCCGTTGAAGCCCACGTGGCCAGATCGAGGCAAGAGGGAGAAGGTAAAGTTGGCGTGAAAGGCGAGCTGCAGCCCACACCGCGACAGTCCCTGGTTTGCCTCGTACACAAACAACTTCACCGGCTCTGCGGTGAAGTTCCCCTTCGTCTCGCGCTGCCCCCCCCTGGTGAGTATAGATGCTGGTGGGAGAACCGCTTGACTGCTTGAGTAGTTTTTGTTCTGGCCTGCACAAACATACCAGACGGATGGACAGAAGTGGGATATGTGTAAGAACTTGAGCGAGACTTGATTGATTTAATAAAGGAGCTCAAGAATTCTAAGTACATTAGAAAATGGGTGGGAACAGATGGGCAGGGGATCGGGGGCAATTCCCAATAAGATCGACTGAAATCTTCAACTGGTGTTGGAGTTGAAGGTTTCAGTTGACCACATCACATTTGGGTTGGGTTGGGATATTGGTGTAACACCCAACCACAAAAACTACTACACTAAAGTAGGACATTAAAAGTGCAAGTAAAAGAAGTGAGGTGGAAGTCTATCGCTAACAATATGGAGGTATGACAGGGTGATACCTAAGAATTCCGATCAACAAGCGACTGGAGTTCATGTGAGTTGGACGTCCCACCATTCTGTAAATCTGTATATGGTCATGTTTCATAGATTTCAAGTGGTGTCCCCTACCTTGAGCAACACAGGTGATCCCTCCAAATTGCACGAATCCCGCATCACACAGACATGTGGGTGCCAAGCTAGCCCCCTCTGGATAGCACACCCCATGTCCTCCACACGCAGCAGCAGCAGCAGCACCAGCAGCAGAGGAGACGCCACAGAATGCATTGCATGCTGCCTCCTGTCGCTGGGGCACCAAGGCACAGCCAAGCGGCAACGTGAAGCAGTTGGCATCAAAAGAGTGAGGCTGGCATGCCCCGTCGGGCAGAGGGCCCGAGAGGAAGTTGCTGGAGAGATATAGGGTTCGCGCAGCAAGGAGCTTCAGTGCGCGGCCTGTGAGGTAGTTGTGAGAGAGGTCTCTGCAGGAAGGAGGTGCAAGTGGCGGGAGAAGGATGGGTGGGGATCACCTCACTGCACCTGGATAGAAAAAAGTGGAGTGCACTGAGCGAAGATGTGAGGGGTTGTTGAGAAGAATGGGTATACAGATGGGGGAGCAGAAGGGGATAGACACGGGCTGGCGGAGGAGAAGAATAAGGAGTCAACGAGAAGGGGAGCAGAAGGGGAAGGTGAGGTGGAAGAGAAGGATACAGAAGAGGGAGAGGAAGAAGAGGCGTACGAGGATGGTTGGTTGATTGAGACCAGGGAAGAGAGAAATCCGAGAAATGAGGAAGAGAGAAACGAGGAAGCAATCCGAGGAATGTGAAGATGGGTATACAGGGCACTGGCACAGCAACCACGGGCATTCATGTGGTTTTCTATTGACTGGTTTGACTCTTAAGTGGTACTGGGTAGTGTTCAATGTTATAGACCAGCACTCTAGGATGATGATGCACCAGCATGCGAAGTGGGATGCTGCTGGTGGGCTTTTTGAAGGAAAATGTTTCACGAAACTAGGGCAGGAAGAAGAACAGAGAGATCGTGGGGCTAACCAAAGTAAGGAGAATTCAACTGAGCACCACATTTGAAGTACAGCAACCCATCCATTCAAAACAATGGAAAAAGGGTGCACTCCACGAATGACTTCATTGCATGGACACACGTATGTATCAAAGTCACCCCCTTGTGTTCTTAGCTCGCGCTCATCATGAGAAAAGCTCTCCTGTGAGAGGAAATTGACAGCACTAGACAAGAGGGCAACTGACAGGTGAGAAACTTGGGTGAGTGTGCTGATGGTAGCAGGAATGCTGCCAGACAGTTGGTTGCTTGAAAAATCTCTGAGTGGAAAAAGAATGCCAAATTATAAACACCACTGAGGTTATAGTGAGGTGAAATGATAAAAGTACGCATGAGCACAAAAAATTACCGCGGTTCGGTTCAGGGCGGTTCAGTTCATTTTTTACCCAAACTATACCGTTTTTCTTTTTTGCGGCCGTTATTTTTTTCTTCAACAAATTGAACCAGTTCTTCTGTTCGGCCGGTTTGTTTTCAACAACTATCCGAGCCACGCCGAAGCTCCAGCTCCCTCATAGCCTAACATTGGTGTGTTTCCCACGGTTCTTTTTAGATAACAGCTCCTTTTTCTGTTTCAGCCAGTGTAACGATAGTGAAATGTTCAAGGAGAGAAACTTGGAGGCCGTGGTTGTGAGAGCAGCAGTTCTATTGATTAGACTGTTAAGATCCATTTGAGCAAGGAAGTTGGGAAAACCTAACCAACCCGACCCGTGGTTTAGGGCTGGTCGGGTCAGGGATTTCAGAAATGTGCCCCGCGCGGGTTGGCCCGACCGAACCCGAGCTAAAACCCGACCCAAGTACAGAACTTGGGCCGAGTTAGGGCCGGGTTTTGGGCCAGGATTGACCCAACCCGATTTCAACTCTGTAGGGTTCGAAACCCTAGACAAATTTGATGACGAGGATTAAGAAGTCCCTCGACATCAGAACTTGGGCTGAGTCGGGACGGGTTTCGAGCCAGGATTGACCCGACCCGATATCGGGTCTTGGTCGGGGAATTCGGGCCGGGCCAACTCTGTAGGGTTCGAAACCCTACATAAATTTGATGTCGAGGATTGAACGGTCATCAGAACACGAGCACGCGCCACGCCAAGCAGCCAAACTTCAGCCACTAATGTTACCTAAGCTAAGTTAGTAGCTATTTTAAAGCCTACAGAACCATGTTTTCCGACATTTCTATTTACTATGAAGATGTTACTCTGCTATTAAAGGAGACCGCACTGGTGGGATAGTATACTCACGAGTTCACGTTTTACTAGTGCGATTTCACCTTCAAGGCTGCACGCGCCATGTCTTAAAACAACCACCGTTCATAAGTGGGCCCAGCACATAAACTAGTACCAATTCGTACTGATTGACGGGCGCCGCATGCACAGCACTTTTCACTACAGCTAATACACACCCGTACCCCGTAACAGGGCGGGTCAGCCTGGCCCGACCCGACCCGACCCGGGGTCGGGTCAGTTCTGACCCGAATTTCAAAACTCGGGTCGGGTCAGACCCTCCACAAGCTTGGCTCGAAGCTGGCCCGACCCGGGAACCCATCTGGCCCAGCCAAGTCGGGTCGGGTCGGGTCAGGCCGGGCCACATGGTCATGACTAGGTGGAAGGGGGCGTCGTAGACTATGAGAAAATTAGAGCTTGAAATAAAGCTACAACACTCTCTGGTTTCAAGGTTATATTCACACCCAAACTGGTCCGTACTAAACTTGTGGCTCAAGGACAATGGCTCAATTCAGAAAAAAACAAACCAAACTGCACAGAACCAAATCGTGTTGATCCGATCAAGCACTAGGATGAGAAGAAGGCTGATGATAGTCTCGCGGGATTTGGTGTATGTATGAAAGTAGGGGAGTAAGTAAAAACCAGTGATATTGTGATGGGAAATAGAATGGGGCTACTACACCAGGAAGATTTTATCTGAGCACCACTTTTCACCACACTCGCAAAAGACTTTAATGCATGCATGTACGCCCCTAATGTTGTTAGCTCACGCTTAACATAAAAAAGAAGCTCCCCTGTGAGAGGAAACTGACAGCACTAGACTAGAGTAGAGAGTCACTAACAGGCAAAGAAGTTGGGCGAGTGTGCTGATGGCAGCAGGAATGCTGCCAGACAACTGGTTGCTTGAAACGGCTCTGAAATGAAGCCAGATTATAAAATACCACTGGGGTTATAGTGACGTTGTAGCATACAAGAGAAGACCAGACTGAAGCGAGGGAGGACAGCGATGAGGTTGGGTAAGACCATACAAAGGGTGATTAGCATATGAAGATGGTCGTCCTTTGGAGAAGACGAGACGAGGCAAAATGCTAGAAGAATGTGAGGCAACACGAATATTGGAATTATGATATTACGACATCCACTTGCAGAAAATATATTGTGAGAATTTGATCACAAGAAAGAAGATAAGATCTCAATGAAGGGAAAAGGAAGTGAGCAATCGAAACAGGGAAGTGAAGGGATATAGGGGAGAACTGAGGGAGATAAAAGAGGTCGTGCTATACTGAAAAGGGGGGGAAAGAGTCCTGGGAGAGCACAGGAGATGTGAGAAGAACAACAAAAGCGTATCTTCTTACATATTTGTCAACTTGGTGAGGGCGCCAATGTCTGCCGGAATGGAGCCGTTGAGCTGGTTGGAGGCAAGCGACCTGTCCCAATCAGGGTGTTCAATCAAGGCATGAGCAAAATCCGTGTCGTGTGCCTTAAGACTTGAAGGCTTGAAGAGCGCGGTTCTGAAACTCTTCACCCCCATCTGGTGCGCAAGTGGTTTTGGTTCGGTTATTGCTCATGCCTAGGAATGTGGGCGAAGCACCTACAATGGATCCTTACATGGCTACCAGCTTTGTCAGCAAGCCAATGCCAGCGGGGATGGAGCTGGTGAGCCGGTTGTTAGCGAGGGAGCTGTCCGAGACAGGGAGACGAGGGACACGTGGGAGGCGTGCAAGGGCGATGGACAAATTGGTGAGAAGGAAGGTGGGACGGTGATTATTAGCATGAGACTGGACATGAGGAAGGATCAATCGGGTTGGCCCATTTTGAACCTCACCAGCCTGATGGCCAGGTGGGGTTCCAATCAGCCATGGGCGGTTCGTCACAGGGTTGCCCGAGTTTGGCCTGAATCACAAATGCTGTAAACGGACTTTCCAAGGCTTAACTGTTCTGTGAACGAATGTTTGAGCACATAAATGGAATAAAACGATGTGGTTCAAACACAGAGAATCACTGTCTTTGGAAAGCTGCCCACCTTGATTTGTGCCGGCCCTGCCCTGGCTCAGCCCTTGATCGTACCTAACTTGTGCTACTACAATAGCTCTTGTTGCACACTCTGCAAAGGTTTCTGACAAAGAAAAACAATACAATGGATTATTTACAGGAATGTAAGAGCAGTGAGCTTTGTGATTGCAGAGGGCAAAGATCCTGAGAGCAAGTTGGAGTTGAGAGAGCTGTGGTGATGATGTGGCGGGTGGACGCACGGAAAGAAAATATGAGTTCATTGGCGTGTTTGCAGGACACGATAGGGAAGGGAATGGGGCCAGTGACGAGAAGGAAATGTAGAGGTCAAAAAGGTGACCAATTCGAGAGAGACGAGATAGTAGGTTGGGGGGGAGGGATCACACATTATCAAAGGCTTGCTACGACGGACGAGCCACGGGCCGAGTCAGCCCGGCCCGTCGAGTGGAGACTCCGGCTTGGCTTGTCAGCCCACCGGCTTTCCATGGCCCAAAAACGAGCCAGCTTAGCCCAGTCTTATGCTCATGTGGCAGAAAGGAGCCTTACAGGGATGCCAGAGATAGTAGAGAGCCAATCTCCACAGGAATTGAACCCGTGAGCTGATTACTCTTGAGGGACCTGCCATTGCGTACGAATGCAAGAAGGAAGAACCAGACCAGCACTCTAGGATGATGATGCACCAGTATGCGAAGTGGGATGCTGCTGGTGGGCTTTTTGAAGGAAAATGTTTCACGAAACTAGGGCAGGAAGAAGAACAGAGAGATCGTGGGGCTAACCAAAGTAAGGAGAATTCAACTGAGCACCACATTTGAAGTACAGCAACCCATCCATTCAAAACAATGGAAAAAGGGTGCACTCCACGAATGACTTCATTGCATGGACACACGTATGTATCAAAGTCACCCCCTTGTGTTCTTAGCTCGCGCTCATCATGAGAAAAGCTCTCCTGTGAGAGGAAATTGACAGCACTAGACAAGAGGGCAACTGACAGGCGAGAAACTTGGGTGAGTGTGCTGATGGTAGCAGGAATGCTGCCAGACAGTTGGTTGCTTGAAAAATCTCTGAGTGGAAAAAGAATGCCAAATTATAAACACCACTGAGGTTATAGTGAGGTGAAATGATAAAAGTCCGCATGAGCACAAAAAATAACCGCGGTTCGGTTCGTTTTTTACCCAAACTATACCGTTTTTCTTTTTTGCGGCCGTTTTTTTTTTTCAACAAATTGAACCAGTTCTTCTGTTCGGCCGGTTTGTTTTCAACAACTATCCGAGCCACGCCGAAGCTCCAGCTCCCTCATAGCCTAACATTGGTGTGTTTCCCACGGTTCTTTTTAGATAACAGCTCCTTTTTCTGTTTCAGCCAGTGTAACGATAGTGAAATGTTCAAGGAGAGAAACTTGGAGGCCGTGGTTGTGAGAGCAGCAGTTCTATTGATTAGACTGTTAAGATACATTTGAGCAAGGAAGTTGGGAAAACCTAACCAACCCGACCCGTGGTTTAGGGCTGGTCGGGTCAGGGATTTCAGAAATGTGCCCCGCGCGGGTTGGCCCGACCGAACCCGAGCTAAAACCCGACCCAAGTACGGAACTTGGGCCGAGTCAGGGCCGGGTTTTGGGCCAGGATTGACCCAACCCGATTTCAACTCTGTAGGGTTCGAAACCCTAGACAAATTTGATGACGAGGATTAAGAAGTCCCTCGACATCAGAACTTGGGCTGAGTCGGGACGGGTTTCGAGCCAGGATTGACCCGACCCGATATCGGGTCTTGGTCGGGGAATTCGGGCCGGGCCAACTCTGTAGGGTTCGAAACCCTACATAAATTTGATGTCGAGGATTGAACGGTCATCAGAACATGAGCACACGCCACGCCAAGTAGCCAAACTTCAGCCACTAATGTTACCTAAGCTAAGTTAGTAGCTATTTTAAAGCCTACAGAACCATGTTTTCCGACATTTCTATTTACTATGAAGATGTTACTCTGCTATTAAAGGAGACCGCACTGGTGGGATAGTATACTCACGAGTTCACGTTTTACTAGTGCGATTTCACCTTCGAGGCTGCACGCGCCATGTCTTAAAACAACCACCGTTCATAAGTGGGCCCAGCACATAAACTAGTACCAATTCGTACTGATTGACGGGCGCCGCATGCACAGCACTTTTCACTACAGCTAATACACACCCGTACCCCGTAACAGGGCGAGTCAGCCTGGCCCGACCCGACCCGACCCGGGGTCGGGTCAGTTCTGACCCGAATTTCAAAACTCGGGTCGAGTCAGACCCTCCACAAGCTTGGCTCGAAGCTGGCCCGACCCGGGAACCCATCTGGCCCAGCCAAGTCGGGTCGGGTCGGGTCAGGCCGGGCCACATGGTCATGACTAGGTGGAAGGGGGCGTCGTAGACTATGAGAAAATTAGAGCTTGAAATAAAGCTACAACACTCTCTGGTTTCAAGGTTATATTCACACCCAAACTGGTCCGTACTAAACTTGTGGCTCAAGGACGATGGCTCAATTCAGAAAAAAACAAACCAAACTGCACAGAACCAAATCGTGTTGATCCGATCAAGCACTAGGATGAGAAGAAGGCTGATGCTAGTCTCGCGGGATTTGGTGTATGTATGAAAGTAGGGGAGTAAGTAAAAACCAGTGATATTGTGATGGGAAATAGAATGGGGCTACTACACCAGGAAGATTTTATCTGAGACTTTTCACCACACCCCATCCAGTCACAACTCTGATCATGGGATCTAAATGGGTGCTTCGCAAAAGACTTTAATGCATGCATGTACGCCCCTAATGTTGTTAGCTCACGCTTAACATAAAAAAGAAGCTCCCCTGTGAGAGGAAACTGACAGCACTAGACTAGAGTAGAGAGTCACTAACAGGCAAAGAAGTTGGGCGAGTGTGCTGATGGCAGCAGGAATGCTGCCAGACAACTGGTTGCTTGAAACGGCTCTGAAATGAAGCCAGATTATAAAATACCACTGGGGTTATAGTGACGTTGTAGCATACAAGAGAAGACCAGACTGAAGCGAGGGAGGACAGCGATGAGGTTGGGTAAGACCATACAAAGGGTGATTAGCATATGAAGATGGTCGTCCTTTGGAGAAGACGAGACGAGGCAAAATGCTAGAAGAATGTGAGGCAACACGAATATTGGAATTATGATATTACGACATCCACTTGCAGAAAATATCTTGTGAGAATTTGATCACAAGAAAGAAGATAAGATCTCAATGAAGGGAAAAGGAAGTGAGCAATCGAAACAGGGAAGTGAAGGGATATAGGGGAGAACTGAGGGAGATAAAAGAGGTCGTGCTATACTGAAAAGGGGGGGAAAGAGTCCTGGGAGAGCACAGGAGATGTGAGAAGAACAACAAAAGCGTATCTTCTTACATATTTGTCAACTTGGTGAGGGCGCCAATGTCTGCCGGAATGGAGCCGTTGAGCTGGTTGGAGGCAAGCGACCTGTCCCAATCAGGGTGTTCAATCAAGGCATGAGCAAAATCCGTGTCGTGTGCCTTAAGACTTGAAGGCTTGAAGAGCGCGGTTCTGAAACTCTCCACCCCCATCTGGTGCGCAAGTGGTTTTGGTTCGGTTATTGCTCATGCCTAGGAATGTGGGCGAAGCACCTACAATGGATCCTTACATGGCTACCAGCTTTGTCAGCAAGCCAATGCCAGCGGGGATGGAGCTGGTGAGCCGGTTGTTAGCGAGGGAGCTGTCCGAGACAGGGAGACGAGGGACACGTGGGAGGCGTGCAAGGGCGATGGACAAATTGGTGAGAAGGAAGGTGGGACGGTGATTATTAGTAGGGATGAGCAAATGGCGAACTCGAACACGTTTGGGTTCGAGTTCGCTCGAACATCATCTTTTCCCGAACCGAACACAGTTCGGTTCGGCGAACAACTTAGGGTTCAGGTGCTGTTCGCCGTTCGCCCTTGGGGGCGAACATTTAGTACGTGTGGACGAACTCGAACATGTTCGAACCGAACATGTTCGAGTTCGCCCGTGGCCACTTTCATTATAGTCACAATAGAGAAACTCCGAATCTGGAGGGTTGGGAAGATAGATAGGGGGTGGAGGGTGTATATATAATCATGCAACGCACACTAGCATACGACACCATCATGTAGTGCCTATATAAAAGTCACTGCCAAATTACATCCTACGCCTGCACACCACTGCTACTACCAACAACAGCATGCTCCGCGTCAGAGGTGTCGCCAACACCCACCCCCACCTGCTCCTCCTCCCCCTCCTCCTCCTCCCACTCGTCGTCCTCCTCCTCCCCCTCGCCTTCAATGGCGAACTCTGGTGGTGCCTCGCCTTTTGGACGGCGGCCCTCGCTGATCCTCTGTCCAGGGTGTGAGGTGTACCATGATCTGAGAATCATGGAAGCTCGCGTCCTCTGAGAGGCTAGGCGGTGCCGCTTCCAGGATATGAGGTTGCGGCCGAGGGAGAACACGCGCTCGCTCGACGCGGACGTGGCAGGGATGGCAAGATAATCCCGGGCCATGCGCCTCAGCGTCTGCATGTTGGTGGCGCTGCGCCAATACTCCAACGCTGACACGTCGCACCGCACCCTCTTAGATAAGTACCTGCCAACCTCGTCATCGTGCACCATCCCACCCCTCCCCGCCTCCTGGCTCGCCGACAGACGCGCCGCAAGGCGTCGGCGACTAGGGAGAAACTCGGTGTTTTCGTCGTCATCCGCCGCGTCTCCCTCCTCCTCCTCCGTCACTGGGGCAAGTGGGGTCGGCTGAGGGGCAATCGCTGCAGCCCGGGCCTGGTACTCGGCCACGCGTTCGCGAACCACCTGGATCACCTCGCCTGACGAGGGACGAGGCCTCGCCCTCCGCTCTGTATCGGGATGCAGCGTCTCCCAGTGCGCGTCGTCGAACCACGCCGCCTTCATGGAAGGGTCCAGGAAGGTGGCGATCGCGATCCACAACTCGTTGCTCGACATCAACTCATACTTCTTCAAGAGACCCAGCGCCGCCTCAATCATCGGCTTCAGCGTAGCCGATGGCCCCTTGGCAAGGCGCGACTCCATAGCGTCGATCAGGCCGTTGTAGTACGGCAGGACCATCGACACTGTAGGGTACGCCGCTCCCTCTGCGGCCTTGGAGACTTTGGCGAATGGGCTGAGGAAGGTCTTGACAGAATGCAGAGTCTCCCAGTCTGCGTCCGTCAGGCGCAAGGTGTCCATCTTCGCCTTGTCAGCCTTCGACACGCCCTGTCGGGTAGAACGTATGGGTGGGTGGGCGGGTGATAGGATGGAAAGTGAGGTGGTTGAGGTTGTTGGAGGTCCGGAAAGTTTAGTCAAGCATGGCCAACAGTGGTGCAAGTCCCAGAAGAAAACACCCCGACCGACATACCAACACATAAAACAGCATACACAACACCTGGCACACACACACACCTGTGTCTGGGCAAAGAAGATAGAGATGGGTTCCTGCAGAACCCCGGCTCGCTCGACCATGTCGTGGGTGGACCCCCAGCGTGTGGGACTGTCCTGCACCAGCTTCAATGCTGGCTTCGGTTTGGCGGGGTTGCCCTGCGCGTTCAGAGTCCGCTGAAGGCCCAAGAACTTCCCCGAGCGCTGCGGCGAGTAGCCTATCCACGACGCCATCTCTCTCAGAATTTTCAGCAACTTGCGGATGGCGGTCACTGCGAGTGCTGCCTTCACTGCAAGGTTGATCACGTGTGCCAGGCATCTGCGCACACCACAAAACATTCATGGCGGAGAGAAAGGGAAGTGTGAGTACACATTGGCATAGATCCAAAATACACTACCACTCTCAAGCCGCATAGGCCCACCCGCCTGTACTACAACCACAACATGTTCACATCACAGGAACGACGCACCCAGTCTCCCTCATCGCACATCCCACGCACACTCCCTTTCGTACCGGAAGTGCATGCGCGAGTTGAAGAAGCACTGGCCACCACCCTCCTCCGACATCCACGTGAAAGCGGCAGTGTTGCTGGAGGCGTTGTCAGAGGTGAACCCAAGACAACGCGTCTCCAACCCCCACTGCACCACCGTCTCCTCAACCACCCTCGCCATCTGCTTGCCCGTGTGACGCCCGTGAATCTCGCGGAATTCAAACACCATTGTGCGCAGCTGGTAATTCTCGTCGATCCAGTGACCCGTTACCACTAGCCACGCCCTGTTGTTGGGCGACGTCCACATGTCGATGGTGAACGACACCCTGCACCCCAGCTCCCCCTCCTTCGTCAGCATCTCCGCAATGGCTGACTGAAGAGCGGCAGCCGCATAGACCACTGTGTCGCAGGAAACCGTTCAGCGCGAGGGGATGAAGTTTTTCTGCGCGCAGTTGCGGTTTAACAGGATGAGTAGCTCACGAAACTGGAGAGGGGAAGAGACAAGGGGGGAGAGGGAGTACACGTCAGGGGGATGGGATGAAAATAATATAGCACTGCACTGGGCCACACAAAAACTGATGTAAACACAAAGGGACAGACACGTCCACTAACCACAAACTTGCCCAATCATGCATAGGATGGGATGGGGCACTTACAGCCTCGGCCTCCACGATGCGGAAGGGGAGGTCGCAGGTGACCACCAGCTTCGTGATCGCCTGCCGTAGCTGCACCGAGGTCAGTTTGGTTGTCATCCACCGCTCGATCCCTCCTGACCCATCACCTCCACCAGTCGCCATCGCTTTCCCCTTGGCGAGCTGCGGCCAAGTCTTCGCATGTGGCCACTGATAGACGTAGCCATCCGGCACTCCCTTGTAGCCCCCTCGTGGAAACGTCTCCCCTGGCAAGTGAACGGACGGGGTGTGGTAACGGTGATGCCACACATGCATGTGTGCAGTGTGGAAGCTCGCAAAGTGCCGCTCGCCCGGGGTTGTTGTGGATTGCTTCCACGAAATCCTGTCTGTGCAAATCTTGCACTGACGCTTATCGTCTGCCCCTAACGGTCCGAACATCATAACTTGCCACCCCGGCTTCCTATTACCCTTGCCAGTCCCCTTACTACTCTCAGACCCTCCGTCCTCGTCTAGGAACTCGGGAGCGATCACACCCTCGCCCAAGGGCTCCCCAGTGAACGTGCAGGGATACGCACGCTCTCTCAACTTGTTCGCTTTCTTCCTCTGCCTCGGCTCCCTAATGGTCACGGCCTTCCCCCCCCCCACCTTAACCCCCACGCTCCCTCCCCCTTCATGCACATGCTGTGATCTCGCCTCTGTCGCCGCCCTTCCACCACCCTCTCCCACCTCCTCCTCCCGCCCCGATGGCTCCAACCCATCCATCTCGTGGTCTTCATCATCATCATCTCCCCCCTCCCCACCGCCATGCGTCTCTGGGTCCCACGCCGCCTCGCTGTCATCCCCGCTCCCCTCAGTGTCCTCCTCCTTCTCGCCCTCACCATCCTCCTCCTCATCCTCCTCCTCACTGACACTCTCCGGCTGCGTCGGCGTCTGCCCCGAAGGAGGGGGCCGAGGGCCGTCGTAACGGAAAGAGCGACGAGAGCTCGGCGCCGGTACGGTAAGCAACCCCCCAACGAAGATCGCGCCGGCTCCACCCGGTCCATCCCCTACTCGCCCCTGCATAGGTCGTGGTGGAGATCCCGGTGCGCTGCGCTGAGCCCTGCCTGCACCTCGGCCTATGGATCCACCACCCCTGGAAGCCATCACTCTGCCCTCGACCATAAACCCCAAAACCCCCTAAGGCAACGTTAGCGTTGGATGGTGCCGCACGTTCCTAATGCCCGATCCGAATCCTAGAGCGAATGATACGCCCTACTTGAGCCCTTTGCGGAGATGCTCGCTGAACCTCCCTAGTAACCCTAAACTCCCTACACTACGTTAAACCCTATGCATAGTTCTTCTATCTAATCTAATGTTCGTTCGTTTACACTCCAAGTAATAACGTGCACTTGCTTGCACTTAGAAGAAGGAGGCTAGGGCGGCTGTGTGAGGGAGCGCTAAAGCCTATAAACAACTTCTGAGTTTGAGCTCACGAAATGAGCTCAAACTAAAATTGGCCGCGACCTAAATCTGGTCGCGGCCAATTTTGACGCCAACACATTTGGTGTTCGCGTCGAATCCCAGCCGAACACGAACATGTTCGTGTTCGGCTTGGAGAGGCGAATTCCAAAGCCGAACGTCCAACATGTTCGGCCGAACACCGAACATGTTCGGCCCGAAAAATTTAGCCAAAAAAAAAGCCTGTTCGGTTCGCCTCGAACATGTTCGAGGCGAACCGAACAGGCGTTCGGGATCTTGCTCATCCCTAATTACTAGCATGAGACTGGACATGAGGAAGGATCAATCGGGTTGGCCCATTTTGAACCTCACCAGCCTGATGGCCAGGTGGGGTTCCAATCAGCCATGGGCGGTTCGTCACAGGGTTGCCCGAGTTTGGCCTGAATCACAAATGCTGTAAACGGACTTTCCAAGGCTTAACTGTTCTGTGAACGAATGTTTGAGCACATAAATGGAATAAAACAATGTGGTTCAAACACAGAGAATCACTGTCTTTGGAAAGCTGCCCACCTTGATTTGTGCCGGCCCTGCCCTGGCTCAGCCCTTGATCGTACCTAACTTGTGCTACTACAATAGCTTTTGTTGCACACTCTGCAAGGTTTCTGACAAAGAAAAACAATACAATGGATTATTTACAGGAAAGTAAGAGCAGTGAGCTTTGTGATTGCAGAGGGCAAAGATCCTGAGAGCAAGTTGGAGTTGAGAGAGCTGTGGTGATGATGTGGCGGGTCACGGGTGGACGCACGGAAAGAAAATATGAGTTCATTGGCGTGTTTGCAGGACACGATAGGGAAGGGAATGGGGCCAGTGACGAGAAGGAAATGTAGAGGTAAAAAAGGTGACCAATTCGAGAGAGACGAGATAGTAGGTTGGGGGGGAGGGATCACACATTATCAAAGGCTTGCTACGACGGACGAGCCACGGGTCGAGTCAGCCCGGCCCGTCGAGTGGAGACTCCGGCTTGGCTTGTCAGCCCACCGGCTTTCCATGGCCCAAAAACGAGCCAGCTTAGCCCAGTCTTATGCTCGTGTGGCAGAAAGGAGCCTTACAGGGATGCCAGAGATAGTAGAGAGCCAATCTCCACAGGAATTGAACCCGTGAGCTGATTACTCTTGAGGGACCTGCCATTGCGTACGAATGCAAGAAGGAAGAACCAGACCAGCACTCTAGGATGATGATGCACCAGTATGCGAAGTGGGATGCTGCTGGTGGGCTTTTTGAAGGAAAATGTTTCATGAAACTAGGGCAGTAAGAAGAACAGAGAGATCGTGGGGCTAACCAAAGTAAGGAGAATTCAACTGAGCACCACATTTGAAGCACAGCAACCCATCCATTCAAAACAATGGAAAAAGGGGGCACTCCACGAATGACTTCATTGCATGGACACACGTATGTATCAAAGTCACCCCCTTGTGTTCTTAGCTCGCCCTCATCATGAGAAAAGCTCTCCTGTGAGAGGAAATTGACAGCACTAGACAAGAGGGCAACTGACAGGAGAGAAACTTGGGTGAGAGTGCTGATGGTAGCAGGAATGCTGCCAGACAGTTGGTTGCTTGAAACATCTCTGAGTGGAAAAAGAATGCCAAAAATATAAGTATCACTGAGGTTATAGCGTCTAGACGCTAGACGCAGGATGCTCCCTGCGTCTTCTGCAACTTAGACTCGGGATACCAGAGAAGACAAGACAGAAGAGAGGCGGGACAGCAATGAGGTTGGGGAAGACCATACAAAGGGTGAATAGCAAAAGAAGATGGTCGTCCCTTGGAGACGGACGAGACGAGATAGGCTGGTGAAGAAAATGCATCCATAGAGAAATGAAGGGAAAGAGGTAGAGCAAAGAAAGTGAGGTATACTGAACAGCGCGGGGAAAGATCCTTGGGAGCGCAAAGGAGATGAGAGAAGAACAACAAAAGCGTAACTTCTTACATGCTTCTCAACTTGGTGAGGACGCCAGTGTTATCCGGGATGGAGCCATTGAGCTGGTTGGAGGCAAGCGACCTGTCCCAATCAGGGTGTTCAATCAAGGCATGAGCAAAATCCGTGTCGTGTGCCTTAAGACTTGAAGGCTTGAAGAGCGCGGTTCTGAAACTCTCCACCCCCATCTGGTGCGCAAGTAGTTTTGGTTCGGTTATTGCTCTGAGAGCAAGTTGGAGTTGAGAGAGCTGTGGTGATGATGTGGCGGGTGGACGCACGGAAAGAAAATATGAGTTCATTGGCGTGTTTGCAGGACACAATAGGGAAGGGAATGGGGCCAGTGACGAGAAGGAAATGTAGAGGTCAAAAAGGTGACCAATTCGAGAGAGACGAGATAGTAGGTTGGGGGGGAGGGATCACACATTATCAAAGGCTTGCTACGACGGACGAGCCACGGGCCGAGTCAGCCCGGCCCGTCGAGTGGAGACTCCGGCTTGGCTTGTCAGCCCACCGGCTTTCCATGGCCCAAAAACGAGCCAGCTTAGCCCAGTCTTATGCTCGTGTGGCAGAAAGGAGCCTTACAGGGATGTCAGAGATAGTAGAGAGCCAATCTCCACAGGAATTGAACCCGTGAGCTGATTACTCTCGAGGGACCTGCCATGCGTACGAATGCAAGAAGGAAGAACCAGACCAGCACTCTAGGATGATGATGCACCAGTATGCGAAGTGGGATGCTGCGGGTGGGCTTTTTGAAGGAAAATGTTTCATGAAACTAGGGCAGTAAGAAGAACAGAGAGATCGTGGGGCTAACCAAAGTAAGGAGAATTCAACTGAGCACCACATTTGAAGTACAGCAACCCATCCATTCAAAAGAATGGAAAAAGGGTGCACTCCACGAATGACTTCATTGCATGGACACACGTATGTATCAAAGTCACCCCCTTGTGTTCTTAGCTCGCGCTCATCATGAGAAAAGCTCTCCTGTGAGAGGAAATTGACAGCACTAGACAAGAGGGCAACTCTTGTCAAATTATAAACACCACTGAGGTTATAGTGAGGTGAAATGATAAAAGTCCGCATGAGCACAAAAAATAACCGCGGTTCGGTTCGTTTTTTACCCAAACTATACCGTTTTTCTTTTTTGCGGCCGTTTTTTTTTTCAACAAATTGAACCAGTTCTTCTGTTCGGCCGGTTTGTTTTCAACAACTATCCGAGCCACGCCGAAGCTCCAGCTCCCTCATAGCCTAACATTGGTGTGTTTCCCACGGTTCTTTTTAGATAACAGCTCTTTTTTATGTTTCAGCCAGTGTAACGATAGTGAAGTGTTCAAGGAGAGAAACTTGGAGGCCCTGGTTGTGAGAGCAGCAGTTCTATTTAGGGATGAGCAAAGGGCGAACACGAACATGTTCGTCTTCGCCCCTTGTCGAACACCCTCTTTTGCCGAACCGAACACTGTTCGGTTCGGCGAACAGTTTAGGAAAAAACAGGTGTTCGCTGTTCGCCTGTGGAGGCGTGTTCGGGCGAACCTCGAACACTGTTCGTGTTCGTCGCGGGCAAATTTCAGCAGCGGCCCGAACACGTTCGTGTTCGGCCCGAACATCGAACACTGTTCGGCGAACGATTTGAGCTAAAAAACAAAACCTGTTCGGTTCGCCTCGAACACGTTCAAGGCGAACCGAACAGGTGTTCGCCACCTTGCTCATCCCTAGTTCTATTGATTAGACTGTTAAGATACATTTGAGCAAGGAAGTTGGGAAAACCTAACCAACCCGACCCGTGGTTTAGGGCTGGTTGGGTCAGGGATTTCAGAAATGTGCCCCGTGCGGGTTGGCCCGACTGAACCCGAGCTAAAACCCGACCCAAGTACGGAACTTGGGCCGAGTCAGGGCCGGGTTTTGGGCCAGGATTGACCCAACCCGATTTCAACTCTGTAGGGTTCGAAACCCTAGACAAATTTGATGACGAGGATTAAGAAGTCCCTCGACATCAGAACTTGGGCTGAGTCGGGACGGGTTTCGAGCCAGGATTGACCCGACCCGATATCGGGTCTTGGTCGGGGAATTCGGGCCGGGCCAACTCTGTAGGGTTCGAAACCCTACATAAATTTGATGTCGAGGATTGAACGGTCATCAGAACATGAACACGCGCCACGCCCAGTAGCCAAACTTCAGCCACTAATGTTACCTAAGCAAAGTTAGTAGCTATTTTAAAGCCTACAGAACCATGTTTTCCGACATTTCTATATACTATGAAGATGTTACTCTGCTATTAAAGGAGACCGCACTGGTGGGATAGTATACTCACGAGTTCACGTTTTACTAGTGCGATTTCACCTTCGAGGCTGCACGCGCCATGTCTTAAAACAACCACCGTTCATAAGTGGGCCCAGCACATAAACTAGTACCAATTCGTACTGATTGACGGGCGCCGCATGCACAGCACTTTTCACTACAGCTAATACACACCCGTACCCCGTAACAGGGCGAGTCAGCCTGGCCCGACCCGACCCGACCCGGGGTCGGGTCAGTTCTGACCCGAATTTCAAAACTCGGGTCGAGTCAGACCCTCCACAAGCTTGGCTCGAAGCTGGCCCGACCCGGGAACCCATCTGGCCCAGCCAAGTCGGGTCGGGTCGGGTCAGGCCGGGCCACATGGTCATGACTAGGTGGAAGGGGGCGTCGTAGACTATGAGAAAATTAGAGCTTGAAATAAAGCTACAACACTCTCTGGTTTCAAGGTTATATTCACACCCAAACTGGTCCGTACTAAACTTGTGGCTCAAGGACAATGGCTCAATTCAGAAAAAAACAAACCAAACTGCACAGAACCAAATCGTGTTGATCCGATCAAGCACTAGGATGAGAAGAAGGCTGATGATAGTCTCGCGGGATTTGGTGTATGTATGAAAGTAGGGGAGTAAGTAAAAACCAGTGATATTGTGATGGGAAATAGAATGGGGCTACTACACCAGGAAGATTTTATCTGACACTTTTCACCACACCCCATCCAGTCACAACTCTGATCATGGGATCTAAATGGGTGCTTCGCAAAAGACTTTAATGCATGCATGTACGCCCCTAATGTTGTTAGCTCACGCTTAACATAAAGAAGAAGCTCCCCTGTGAGAGGAAACTGACAGCACTAGACTAGAGTAGAGAGTCACTAACAGGCAAAGAAGTTGGGCGAGTGTGCTGATGGCAGCAGGAATGCTGCCAGACAACTGGTTGCTTGAAACGGCTCTGAAATGAAGCCAGATTATAAAATACCACTGGGGTTATAGTGACGTTGTAGCATACAAGAGAAGACCAGACTGAAGCGAGGGAGGACAGCGATGAGGTTGGGTAAGACCATACAAAGGGTGATTAGCATATGAAGATGGTCGTCCTTTGGAGAAGACGAGACGAGGCAAAATGCTAGAAGAATGTGAGGCAACACGAATATTGGAATTATGATATTACGACATCCACTTGCAGAAAATATATTGTGAGAATTTGATCACAAGAAAGAAGATAAGATCTCAATGAAGGGAAAAGGAAGTGATCAATCGAAACAGGGAAGTGAAGGGATATAGGGGAGAACTGAGGGAGATAAAAGAGGTCGTGCTATACTGAAAAGGGGGGGAAAGAGTCCTGGGAGAGCACAGGAGATGTGAGAAGAACAACAAAAGCGTATCTTCTTACATATTTGTCAACTTGGTGAGGGCGCCAATGTCTGCCGGAATGGAGCCGTTGAGCTGGTTGGAGGCAAGCGACCTGTCCCAATCAGGGTGTTCAATCAAGGCATGAGCAAAATCCGTGTCGTGTGCCTTAAGACTTGAAGGCTTGAAGAGCGCGGTTCTGAAACTCTCCACCCCCATCTGGTGCGCAAGTGGTTTTGGTTCGGTTATTGCTCATGCATAGAAATGTGGGCGAAGCACCTACAATGGATCCTTACATGGCTACCAGCTTTGTCAGCAAGCCAATGCCAGCGGGGATGGAGCTGGTGAGCCGGTTGTTAGCGAGGGAGCTGTCCGAGACAGGGAGACGAGGGACATGTGGGAGGCGTGCAAGGGCGATGGACAAATTGGTGAGAAGGAAGGTGGGACGATGATTATTAGCATGAGACTGGACATGAGGAAGGATCAATCGGGTTGGCCCATTTTGAACCTCACCAGCCTGATGGCCAGGTGGGGTTCCAATCAGCCATGGGTGGTTCGTCACAGGGTTGCCCGAGTTTGGCCTGAATCACAAATGCTGTAAACGGACTTTCCAAGGCTTAACTGTTCTGTGAACGAATGTTTGAGCACATAAATGGAATAAAACGATGTGGTTCAAACACAAAGAATTGTCAGAATATTATCTTATTGTTCTAGCCTGTAGTGGGGTGCTCTATAGCGAGTACAACCCTTCTAGGGTTTGCTATTTGTATCCTCATTCTTGCTAGTTCAATCCTCTTTCTTTCTTCTAATTTTGACATGCTATCAGAGCAGGTCGATCCCCTTGGATCGATCCTGTGGGTGGGTTACCACCTCGCTTCCGCTGGTACTTTTTCCTCCCGCCGTGCGCCCCGAGGCGCGCGGCGGTTTTCTGCCCGCCGTGCGCCCCGAGGCGCGCGGCGGTTCATTGCCCGCTGTGCGCCCCGAGGCGCGCGGCGGGCTTCTCCACTACGTCGCGGCCCCGCCCCGATCGTCGCGGCCCCGCCCCTTGACGCGGCCCCGCTCTACGTCGCGGCCCCGCCCCGGCCCGTCGCCGCCCGTGCGCCTGCCCGGCTCGGCCCCGCCCTTCGTCGCGGCCCCGCCCCGGCCCGTCGCCGCCCGTGCGCCTGCCCGGCTCGGCCCCGCCCTACCTTCGCGGCCCCGCCCAACGTTGCGGCCCCGCCCTATGTCGCGGCCCCGCCCTACGTCGCGGCCCCGCCCTATGTCGCGGCCCCGCCCCGACCGTCGCGGCCCCGCCCCTCGTCGCGGCCCCGGCCCCGTCCCCCCCCCCCCTTTTTCTCCCCTCCCCCCCAATTCCCGTCGCCCGTCGCGGCTCCTTCGGGGGCCGTGTGGGGTGGCAGGTATGGGGGTGGCCAGTGTACTTTCCTCCCTTTGCTCCTCCTCCTCCTTCGTCTCCCACTGCTGCAGCTGTCGCTGAGGGGGGTGGTTGTGTGGGAGACTGGGTTTAGGGTTTTAGGGGGGTGCGTGGGAGTAGAGCTAGTGGTGTAGCAGTGGGTGTGTATCAGGGGGGTGGGACTGTGTGCGGGAGGATGAGCGGAGGTTGCCAGTTTGTCGTCAGCAGCACCTGTAGTCCGGGGCGCTGTCCCGGTAGCCCAGTCGTAGCCAGCTGTGCCAGCCGCCCGTGGGTCCGTTGCCCGTCCGCCGCTATTTGAGCCGCGGGGCCTGTTACTCCTGTAGTCCGGGCGCTGTCCGGTAGCCGCTGTGCCAGTCTGCCTCCTGTTGCCCGTGTGTCTGCAGCTTCAGCCGTCGCCTCCTGTCTCCTCTCCCCTCACTCTCCCTCCTCCTCCTCACTTGCCCGTTGTGACTACCACTAGCTTTGCTTATAATTGTGAACTCTAAACTATTTCTTCTTGAACTTGTGCTCAGAATGTGTGGTGACATTGTGATCCACCCTGAGCTTGTTTTGCTTTGCCTGCTCTGCTGATTACACCCCACTTTGGCTATGGGGGTGTGTCAGAATATTATCTTATTGTTCTAGCCTGTAGTGGGGTGCTCTATAGCGAGTACAACCCTTCTAGGGTTTGCTATTTGTATCCTCATTCTTGCTAGTTCAATCCTCTTTCTTTCTTCTAATTTTGACAAGAATCACTGTCTTCGGAAAGCTGCCCACCTTGATTCTTAGTGGGAATATACGCTTATTGCGTATATACGCTTATCGTATATACGCACTCTTATATACGCTATACGCTGTAGGGACGGGTTTGGAAATACGCTTTTCCGGGCAGAAAAAAAACTTCCCGGGTAGGGTAAAAAAAAGGCGCGGGGAGGGGGGAGGGGGGGGGGGGGGATATGCATATGGGGCCTGAAGTTTCAGAGATTTTTTTTTTCCACATTACACATATACCACGGCCTACACATAACTACTGTCATCACTACTATCATCACTATCATCACTACTAAATGCCACATATGCCCCCTCTAGTTAGTGTACTCGTCTTCGAGGATGTCGTCTTCGCCTTCCTCCTCATCCTCTCCCTTCGTCTCGTCTTCCAGCCCATTGTATCCTGCCGGGATTGGAGGCTCCGCTCCAATCCCGGGCACCACATGTGGCAAGGCATCAACGCGCGTGTCCCAGTTGCGCACAACATTCCAGTTGTGCGCAACATAGACCAAGTCCCTGCACTTGACGGATCCGAGCCTGTTGCGACGTGCGGTGTGGACGGCATCCCACGAGGACCATCCACGCTCACAAGGTGAGGCTGACACGGCCTGAGACAGCACCCGTACCGCGAGCCCCGCCACTCGAGGGGCATCAGTCCCATTCCACTGCCACCACTTCACCATGCTATACTTTCCCTCTTTCACCAGCTTCCTCTGTGCCACGGCTTCCGGCATCCCAAAAGAACCCTTCATGTCAAGGAACGCCCTCAGCCCGTCCCCCAACTCAAGCAAGATGTCGCACGCGTCATCCCCCCCATCCCCGCGGCTTGCAAGGAACTCGGCCTGCTGGCTGAGGAACGCCTTGAAGACTTTCGTGCACTCGGGATCAGTGCCGAAAATATCTTCCTCCTGATTCGCGGGGTTGAGGATGCGGCCAGCGACATGCATGGCGCATGCGAGGCTGCCGTCCCAGCGGTCTCTGAGGATGCGGCGGATCTTGTCCTTGTCCCCGTCGCTCAGCTGCTCCTCGTCCGCATCGAGCAAGCCCCCCACGTCCTCAGTCAGCTGCAGCATCAAATCGTACAGCCTCCCCATCATCCCCACGGCATGCCCGTCCGTTTGCCTCATCACCTTAAAAGGCAGCTTCAGCAGTGCGACGAAGAACTCGGCCGTCTTCCACCAGGCAGCATCATGGATCAGCGCACTGAACCCGTCACACGATTTCTTCCGGTCCCCTACCGCCCACTCCTTCCAACCCTCGCTCGTCACCATGTTGGTAAGGCTGCCGCGCATCGCACATAGTCGGGATATGGCTATGTAGTTGGTCCCGAATCGGGTTCCAGCCGGCTTCAGCGCCTGCAGAACCTTCCCCTCCACCAATTCCGGCTTCCGCAGGTACCCTCGGGTCCAGTGGTGGTTGCGGACGAAGCTAGATATCTCCCCTCCCTTGTCGACCACCGGCTTAGCCCATCCCATCTTCCCGACATCTTCCATGAGAAGATCCAACACGTGAGTGGCGCACGGCACATCCTGAATGTGCGGCCACTCCTGTAAGAGCTGCTTCACCGCCACCGCATAGTTTGACCACCCGTCCATGCAGAACGCAACAACGTTTTTTGGACCCACTTCCTCCACCACTGGCCTAAGAATCCCCGCCACGTAACCTCCGGTTTTCCTCTCCATGTTGCAGTCAATACAGTCGGTGAAGACGGCGCCGGAATCGTTTACGAGAAGCACGTTGGCCTGCGGTCTGCCGTTGCGGTCCGTCATCATGTCGGACGAAACCGTCACGCCCGTCCTCTTCCAGCTCGCCTTAATGCCCACCAAACCCTGCTCGATCCCGTTGCGACACGAGAGAAGGCCAGCACCGCCGATGTATTTCCTCTTGGGAGGGACGTAGTCGACGCCGGCGCGCTTGACGAGGTTCAATGCATTGACCATCAGAGGATGGTCAATGTGGCGCTCGGGGATATGGAGGGCGGCCCAAGCAAGCGCAAGTGCCTCGTCCGCTTCTCTCTTTCTTGCAGCCGCGTCCCCCTCAAGGTAATCGGTGATGCGCGCCCGCTTCACACCATTAGCCTTGACCGCGGCAACCGCTTCAGCTGCTGCCCGCCTCTTCTCTTCGGCCGCAGCGCGCTTTGCCTCGTATTTCGCGCGCATGGCCAAGCGCACATCTTGCGGCGCATCCTTGCAAAGCACCACTTCACGGCGTTTCATCCCCTTCCACGACGTGAAGTGTTGCGCGCATCGGATGGCAGCACCAGTGTAGACGTTGCTGCAGAATTTGCACTCGTACTGCTGAGCTTTTCCCTCGACCCTCTTGATGATGCGGAAGTGCTTGAAGACGGCATGGTCAACGTCGGGGAGATACTCCCGTGCCTCAGATAGAAGGGTTTGAGAACTGCCAACGGTGTTAACTGACGATGGCGTTAGAGGAGAGGTAGTAGTCGTCGACATAGGCACCATGCGCTAGGGAATGCCTAGTGCTGTGCTGGTAGCGAGAGAAGACCTAATGAGTTGGATGTTGGGGGTGTGCTTGTTTTATGGCGAGTTGATTGTGGGAGTGGGAAGATGGCCAACAAAAATTGGAGAGGTGTTGGTTGCGAAGGGTTTGAATGCGGTACTGATAGTGAACACCAAAATGTGAGGGAACGTGCAGGCGCGACTCGACGAACGTGACTTTCCATTTGCGACACGAACTTTCAACCCACGTCCACGCTAGCACACAGCGCGGACGTGCCATCTGACCCCGCCAATGTCTTCGTCGTGCAATTCCGAAGTGAACCGTATAGGTTGAAATTTTCTGGCCGGGCTGCCCCAAAAAAAATTGGCGAGCGTATAGCGTATTCGATAGCGTTTAGCGTTTTGCGTATACACGCTAGCGTGTATACGCTAAACGCAAACAGGTTTGAGCGTATATTCCCACTTAGCCTTGATTTGTGCCGGCCCTGCCCTGGCTCAGCCCTTGATCGTACCTAACTTGTGCTACTACAATAGCTTTTGTTGCACACTCTACGAAGGTTTCTGACAAAGAAAAACAATACAATGGATTATTTACAGGAATGTAAGAGCAGTGAGCTTTGTGATTGCAGAGGGCAAAGATCCTGAGAGCAAGTTGGAGTTGAGAGAGCTGTGGTGATGATGTGGCAGGTGGACGCACGGAAAGAAAGTATGAGTTCATTGGCGTGTTTGCAGGACACGATAGGGAAGGGAATGGGGCCAGTGACGAGAAGGAAATGTAGAGGTCAAAAAGGTGACCAATTCAGAGAGAGACGAGATAGTAGGTTGGGGGGGAGGGATCACACATTATCAAAGGCTTGCTACGACGGACGAGCCACGGGCCGAGTCAGCCCGGCCCGTCGAGTGGAGACTCCAGCTTGGCTTGTCAGCCCACCGGCTTTCCATGGCCCAAAAACGAGCCAGCTTAGCCCAGTCTTATGCTCGTGTGGCAGAAAGGAGCCTTACAGGGATGCCAGAGATAGTAGAGAGCCAATCTCCACAGGAATTGAACCCGTGAGCTGATTACTCTCGAGGGACCTGCCATTGCGTACGAATGCAAGAAGGAAGAACCAGACCAGCACTCTAGGATGATGATGCACCAGTATGCGAAGTGGGATGCTGCTGGTGGGCTTTTTGAAGGAAAATGTTTCATGAAACTAGGGCAGTAAGAAGAACAGAGAGATCGTGGGGCTAACCAAAGTAAGGAGAATTCAACTGAGCACCACATTTGAAGCACAGCAACCCATCCATTCAAAACAATGGAAAAAGGGGGCACTCCACGAATGACTTCATTGCATGGACACACGTATGTATCAAAGTCACCCCCTTGTGTTCTTAGCTCGCGCTCATCATGAGAAAAGCTCTCCTGTGAGAGGAAATTGACAGCACTAGACAAGAGGGCAACTGACAGGCGAGAAACTTGGGTGAGTGTGCTGATCGTAGCAGGAATGCTGCCAGACAGTTGGTTGCTTGAAACATCTCTGAGTGGAAAAAGAATGCCAAAAATATAAGTATCACTGAGGTTACGGCGTCTAGACACTAGACGCAGGACGCTCCCTGCGTCTTCTGCAACTTAGACTCGGGATACCAGAGAAGACAAGACAGAAGAGAGGCGGGACAGCAATGAGGTTGGGGAAGACCATACAAAGGGTGAATAGCAAAAGAAGATGGTCGTCCCTTGGAGACGGACGAGACGAGATAGGCTGGTGAAGAAAATGCATCCATAGAGAAATGAAGGGAAAGAGGGAGAGCAAAGAAAGTGAGGTATACTGAACAGCGTGGGGAAAGATTCTTGGGAGCGCACAGGAGATGAGAGAAGAACAACAAAAGCGTAACTTCTTACATGCTTCTCAACTTGGTGAGGACGCCAGTGTTATCCGGGATGGAGCCATTGAGCTGGTTGGAGGCAAGCGACCTGTCCCAATCAGGGTGTTCAATCAAGGCATGAGCAAAATCCGTGTCGTGTGCCTTAAGACTTGAAGGCTTGAAGAGCGCGGTTCTGAAACTCTCCACCCCTATCTGGTGCGCAAGTAGTTTTGGTTCGGTTATTGCTCTGAGAGCAAGTTGGAGTTGAGAGAGCTGTGGTGGTGATGTGGCGGGTGGACGCACGGAAAGAAAATATGAGTTCATTGGCGTGTTTGCAGGACACGATAGGGAAGGGAATGGGGCCAGTGACGAGAAGGAAATGTAGAGGTCAAAAAGGTGACCAATTCGAGAGAGACGAGATAGTAGGTTGGGGGGGGGGGGGGATCACACATTATCAAAGGCTTGCTACGACGGACGAGCCACGGGCCGAGTCAGCCCGGCCCGTCGAGTATACATGGGCAAAAGACGAGTCGAGTTTTACTCGACTCGTTTTGACGAGCTTTTTTTCACACACGAGTCGAGTCGAGGAAAACTCGCCAAGTTTTTTGTGCCACAAAGCAAACTCGAAACTCGACCATATTACCGAGTTTTTTCAACACTCGGACGAGTTCAAAGAAAACTCGTCCGAGTCAAGTAAAACTCGACTCGTTGTTAAACACCCCCCTTACCCACCACCCCACGAAACCAGTTTAGTGAAAGGAAATGCCGCGCGGATCTAGCGGCGGAATGCTAGGTGCGGGCAGATATGGCGGCGGAATGCTAGGTGCGGGCGGATCTAGCGGCGGAATGCTATGTGCCGGCGGATCTGGCGGCGGAATGCTAGGTGCGGGCGGATCTAGCGGCGGAATGCTATGTGCGTTCAGATCTGGCGGCGGAGTGCTAGGTGCGGGCGGATCTAGCGGCGGAATGCTATATGCGGGCGGATCGGGCGGCGGAATACTAGGTGCGGCCGGATCTGGCGGCGGAATGCTAGGGGCGGCCGGATCTGGCGGCGGAATGCTAGGTGCGGGCGGATCTAGCAGCGGAATGCTAGGCGCGGGCGGATCTGGTGGCAAAATGCTCACAAGCCCCAAAAACTTGCGAGTTCTGAAAAAACTTGCTTGGTAGCCGAGTTTTTCACGAGTTTTTTTAACTCGCGAGCAAAACTCAACTCGAGCATCCAAGTTTTTTTTACAAAAAAACAAACTCGAAACTCGAGCCTTTCGAGTCCCTCGAACGAGTCGAGGAAAAACTCGACTCGTTTGCCCATGTATACCGTCGAGTGGAGACTCCGGCTTGGCTTGTCAGCCCACCGGCTTTCCATGGCCCCAAAACGAGCCAGCTTAGCCCAGTCTTATGCTCGTGTGGCAGAAAGGAGCCTTACAGGGATGCCAGAGATAGTAGAGAGCCAATCTCCACAGGAATTGAACCCGTGAGCTGATTACTCCCGAGGGACCTGCCATTGCGTACGAATGCAAGAAGGAAGAACCAGACCAGCACTCTAGGATGATGATGCACCAGTATGCGAAGTGGGATGCTGCTGGTGGGCTTTTTGAAGGAAAATGTTTCATGAAACTAGGGCAGTAAGAAGAACAGAGAGATCGTGGGGCTAACCAAAGTAAGGAGAATTCAACTGAGCACCACATTTGAAGTACAGCAACCCATCCATTCAAAACAATGGAAAAAGGGGGCACTCCACGAATGACTTCATTGCATGGACACACGTATGTATCAAAGTCACCCCCTTGTGTTCTTAGCTCGCGCTCATCATGAGAAAAGCTCTCCTGTGAGAGGAAATTGACAGCACTAGACAAGAGGGCAACTGACAGGTGAGAAACATGGGACAGGCAAGCTCTCCTGTCCCAATCAGGGTGTTCAATCAAGGCATGAGCAAAACCCGTGTGCCTTAAGACTTGAAGGCTTTAAGAGTGCAGTTCTGAAACTCTCCACCCCCGTCTGGTGCGCAAGTAGTTTTGGTTCGGTTATTGCTCATGCCTAGGAATGTGACCGAAGCACCTACAATGGATCCTTACATGGTTACCAGCTTTGTCAGCAAGCCAATGCCAGCGGGGATGGAGCTGGTGAGCTGGTTGTTAGCGAGGGAGCTGTCCGAGACAGAGAGATGAGGGACACGTGAGAGGCGTGCAAGGGAGATGGACAAATTGGTGAGAAGAAAGGTAGGACGGTGGTATTAGCATGAGACTATAAATGAGGAAGAATCAAACAGGTTGGCCCAGTTCAAACCTCGCCAGCATGATTTTAGAATCGCGTTCCAGTCAGCCATTGGTGGTTCGTCACAGGGTTGCCCGAGTTAGGCCGGAATCACTATCGCTGTAGTCACATTTTCCAGTGTGTTTTGTTCTCAACGAATGTTTTAGTACCGAATTGGAATAAAGATGTGGTACAAACAGAGAGGATCACTGTCTGTAGAAAGATTTCCCAGCATGTTTTGTGCCGGCCCTGCCCTGTCTCGGGCCTTGCTCGTGCTGCCTAACTAGTAGTACTACAAAAATCTTTGTGGCACAAGCTGCAAAAAATATTCAAAAGAAAAAAAGAGAAAAACAATACAACGGATCTTTATTAGGACCTCTGGGAACCTGGCACCCAATTACAAAAATGTAAGAGCAGTGAGTTTTGTGATCGAGGAGGGCACAGATCCTGACAGCAAGTTGGAGTTGAGAGAGCTGTTGGTGGTGTGGTGTGGTGGGGGGTGGACACCCGGGAAGGCAAGATTCGTGTCCGTCGGTGTGTTTGCACAATGTAGAAAAGGGAATGGAGGGAGTCACGGAAAAGAAATGTAGAAATACCAGAGGTGACAAAATCGAGAGAGACAAAATAGTAGGGAGCACACATCAGCATAGGTCTCAGCCAATGGATCAGCTTGTCGGATCGGCTCGTCAGCAGGGTGAGCTGAGCCAAGAGTCCTGCTCCGCTGGCTCGACCGCTAGGTCGTCAAGACCCAGCTCGATGAGTAGGTCAGATCATTGTCGAGCCTTCAATGGCTTGTCCATGTTGTGCAGCGAGTATTTTGTCAGAGGGTGAATTCTCACCTTGGGTTGGGTCTTAGAGGTTTTGAGTTCAATTCTCAGTAGCTACACTTTCCTTCTCATTATGCTCCACATTACATGTCCACACTCCACCACTCTCCACCACAGTGCGTGTGGTCACAGTTGGCATTGGCACCTGTCCACTCATCCCACACTCACCTTGCTAGCCTCTATGGTGTGTCATATGCTGTCATGTGGGCTGTTGTTCCAGCCTGGCCCACATGTGCAACATGTGGTCTCACTTGCTAGCTTGGCAAGGTTGGCTAGCCTTGCCCTCAGCATTGAGGTGCTGCAACTAGCCTCAAGAGTTTAGCCACATATATGTGGCTTCCCACTTCACTAGATACCATCCTTGGACAAGGACCTTGCTCTAGTCTTAAGACTTGTACCTTTTTTCTTACTCAGCACATTTCTTCTTCCTATCGTGCCCTAAGTTCACCGATCCATTTTGTCAGTCCTGCAGACACGCAACTATTGCCTGGTCCACTCGGATCTGGCGGGTAGGTGCCAACACGGATTTGTGAGATTGCTCGTGGAAAATCCTGGCTCGACCAGCTTGCTACGACGGACGAGGCACAGGCAGCTGCCAGCACGGTCGTCGAGCGGAGTCTCCAGCTTGACTTGTCAGCCCGCCCGCTTGTCACGGCTCAAAACGAGCCAGATCGGGCCAGACTTATGGTCATGTGGCAGAAAGGAGCCTTACTTTGGAGAGGACCACTGAGACATCTCAGAGGCCTAT